GCTTTATCCCTAAGAGAAAATTCAAATAATCTAAGTCTATTAGCATTATGACTGACACCATTAAATCTAGAAGTATCACAAATCTCAAGAAAATTAGCAATATGTAAATTAGGTTTATCGTTTAGTAATCCACCAAATTGCACACTACTTTGGATCATCTAAATAATGGTCGATTTGATCTCAAAATTGTTAGCAACAATAGTTGGTCTTTTAATAATTAAGGTTATTCCCTCTAAGGATGGTGTGGAATACTCAATTAGAGTTTTCTTGTCTACTTGCTCCTCTTTTCACTGTACTGCCATAGTGCTCTTTTTTCTTTTTCATTTTTTTTCTCTCTCAAACGTTCTCTAAATGTTCTTTCAATCTTAGGACCAAAAATTATGAGTTTGCCACTACTAATATAGGTCATGCACTAGTAAACTTACAACTCAAAAGAACTAAAGAACGCAAAAGAAAAAGATGAATAAAAATTATAAATAAAAAAATAAAAAATGTAGAATAATAAATAATTATAAAATTGAATTATAATTCAATCTTAATTTAGTTATAAATCTCAATATGTAACTATAATTCCTCAATAATAATGCCAAAATTTGTTACTTTGTTTAGCAAAATCGGATAAGCAATAAATCCAATCTAATAATGTAATAAAGGGTAAAAAGGTATCATTTCCATTAGGAATTAAAATGCACTATTAAAATTATCGAACTTAGAATAAGTTGAATTAATTGAAACAATTAAGAGAATAAAAATTAAATTAAAACTCTATCCTAAATTTGTAAAATTGAAAATTACTAATAAAATGATATGAAAGTAGCTATAGATAGATTTATTTAATTCTAACTTATGTAATTAACTATATTAACTCAACTCATGAACTACTTTAAGATCTATCGTAATATATGTGAGGATTGAATTCCTTGAATAAGTTAATAAGTTATCTCTAGTCAAATTAACCCTATTCTTCACCTAAAAAAATCATCCATATTTCTATGTGACTTAAATTAAGATCTAAATGTATTAGAATGAATAGAATTTTCTAATGTCAAATAAGTATGCCATCACATAGTTACTATTTCATTATCACACTAGAACTAGTTATCTTTCGATTAATAATAAACAAGTGATTTAAACAAGCATAATTTCATCAATAAAACTAGTTTTCATTGAATCAATATGAGGTGATCAATCTTCTAAAGCATTAAACACGATAATATAAATTCATCGTACATCAAGAATCAAGTTTTTAGTTAGGAAAAATAATTAACAAAAATAGAAAAAGAATTAAAACATCCAACCCTAACATAAGAGTTTATCTTTATATATAAATGAATTTACTAGATGTAAAAATAAAACATTACATTGGATTGGCAATCCATTAGAGTAATAATTAAAGGAAACTTAATTACTTGTCATAGATCCGTTTGTTTCTACTTTTTTCTTCTCCCTTTTATTTCTTGGTAGCGTTTTAAGCCCTCTATTTCTTCTTTACTCTGTCATCCCAATCTTTCTATTTGGTTTTTTCTTTTCTAGTGTACAAACCTTCGTTTCTTTGGGCTCCCCTCTATTTCGTACAAAAACTCTCCCTCTTATGCTCGTCACTCTTCGCTTTTATAGCCCCTAAACTCCCTTTAATAGCCAACCAATGTCAGTCCCATTTAGAATATGATGAATTGCTTTTTAAAGTGTCCAAGTCAAACACCTTTATTATTATTGGTCTTTGATCCTTACTTTTGGTTTTTATTTTCATTTCATTCCTTATTTTGCCTTACTTCTTTATTCTTCTTTTGATTCTTTGTACCTATAAATTCAAAGCATATGGGAACTAATTTATATCAAATAAAACATAAATTACATGCATAATTAATAAAAATGAGCCCCAAGTTTACATAAATATATGCCTATAAATTGTACTTATTAAGATACCAAAAGATTCAAGGTAATGTGAAATAAATGGACATGAGATTTAGACAAAATACTTTTATTTTATTTATGACCAATTTATACATGCATTGTGTTGGTCGTAAGACTATTTTACATTCAATATTTACAAGCAAGACATGATACAACATATAAACATGAGATACACATAGCCTACGAGCTAAAAGCCTAAATAAAAGTACACTTTTTGGTAAAACCCAAAAGCATCTAACAACACCATCCTTATGGCAGACCTACTCATAAGTATTGTTGCGGTCACCTATACCACAAGACATAGACATCGGGTAACACTTAGTAAGTGCAACCATACATGAGTTTATTAAACTCGTTTGTATGAAAAAAATTCATTTTTCTCTTTCGGTCCTCTTTTAAAACCTTGATGAAAAACCTTGAAACTAGACAATGTCTAGCGAAAAACTAACCCTCGGGTATACATCAAATCATTCTCATGGTGGCCTCTCTATGTTCTTGCACATGACTTCATTTTTCTTGCTTAAAACATGAACCATGAAAGCCAATGTCTATAATATGCCATGATGCTTTTAATGCTTATGTACCCAAATATCATCAATGATGCCAATATAACATAACTATGCTAAAACAACCTTTAAGCATTAAGCCAATTCTTCAAAATACAATATTCAATCTATTAGACTAAGTAATTCGAGTTCATCAAGTAAATGTAAAGTAGAAAATTCAATTCATCAAATAGATTCCAATCAAGCAATTTAGTTCATCACAAGCAAGAAAGGCTCTCATCCAAAACAACAATAATTATCTAATCATCATGCTATGAATTCATCCAAGCAAGTCAAGACATGTTATAATTCACTAATATATTAATATGTCTAATTTCATCTCAAGCAACCTAAAATTCAGAGTTAAATCAAGCAAAATAAGGCGATCAATGTCATCTGTTTCGGTAGAATATTAAGCCAATCCAAGTAATTTTTGACATAATATATTCACGTAATTCAAGCCATTCGAGTTAGCCACAAAGTCACCTAGGGTTTACCTAGAAAGTATAGGTTCAAGCAATTTTTGATGGAATATATTCACGCAATTCAAGCCATTCATTCAACCACAAAGTCACCTAGGGTTTACATAGAAAGTACGAGGTTCGGTGACAAGTCTAAAGTCCTCATGCATTAAGGTTAACCTTTCCCCATTCAACACACAAACATAATGAGATCAAACTCAAACATGTCAAAGAATACGCCTAGGCCTTGTAGTGTAGTTGAGTGAGTTACACTTACTTATGATGTAGCTTAGTTGAGTGAGTTACACTAACTTGTGGTATAGTTTAGTGAGAAATCCTAAATCCTTATACATCAAGGTTTAACCCTTCTCCATTCAACACACAAGCATAATGAGATCAAACTCAACCATGTCAAAAAAAAAAAAAAAAAAAACCTAAGCCTATGTCTTATGGTGTAGTTGAGTGAGTTATACTTACTTGTTCTATAGATATGAGGTAGAAAAATACTTCAAAAGACCACAAGAGACCCTTCTAACATTTGGTCTAGCCCTTAGCCAAAATTAGTAGTAACCCTCTCGACCACAATAGCTCCCTCTTCGATAAACTCCCCATTTCTCTTGTATGATTTTCAAATGGCTAAAGAAATCAAACCATTGTCCCACCCCTCTCTTTATATAGGTCAACCATGTGATAAGGAAATGCTTACAAATTCTAGAGGATGACACCTCTTTGGCCGAAATCACCCCTGCAAGGAATGGTGATGATAGTAGGCTTTCCACTAACTTCGGGATAAGGTAAGTCCCTCTCAAATGTTCAATCCATGCAATTAAGCCCCTTAAATCCAACAATAGTCATACTTAATGTGTTCTTGTATGATTTTCATGATATAGGGACTAATATATCAAGGTATATGATTGGACATAAAATTCATCAACGAAAAGCTGATGCCATGACGGTGACAATTTTTGTTGATGTAAACTACCATGTCTAGACATAGCATTTTTCGTTAACAAAAAATGGCATGTCTAAACATAGTCATTTTCGACAACAATCATCATAAAAAAATGAACATTCAACTAAAGTAATTCAAGCACACATGAACTTTGATGAAAATTGGCATGTCATACATAGTCGGTTTTCGACAATGTAGAGAACATCCTATGATGTGCCAATTCTTGATGACTACACACACAACAACATTTAAGCATCAACATCAAGTAAATTAAGTAGGCATCAAGCTAAACACACACAAACATGCATATGCTATGTGCAAAGGTCCGAGTTGTTACAATCTCCCTTCCTCATAAAAATTCTATCCTTGGAATTAACTTACTCGATTCTCCCACGTTGTGAGTCCTCCTTGACTTGTTCTTACATCATCATATACACTCTCCCCGATACTTTAGATGCAATTCTCTTTTTCGGACAATTATTTATCATGTGCCTAACTTCCTTGCAAAAATAATAAGTGTTGGTGTCAATCAAACACTCACCCACATGCTTACGCTCACACTTGAAGCAATTTGGCTTGTCTTATATGTTTATCCTATGTTGCCCCTCGACCATTCTTTGCTATCCCTCGACCATTCTAGACTTCTTAGTATTGTTTGGCCATGTCCTCTCAAAATGATTTAGTTCCACAACTTGCTCACCGACACTCGTTTGCAACATACAACCTTTTTCCTTGTTGTAATCGTGCTACCTCCTAAAATTGAAATATTTTAAAAAAAATATAGTATGTAAAATTTTAATTGAATAATCATTTTGAGAATATAAAACCGTTTGGAATAGAGGTATTACTATATAACTTAAAATGGAAAATGGAAGTGGGTTGTTTATCCTAACTCACATTATTTGGATTGAATTTATTAGGCACTTGGGCTTTCTCTTAACAAGTGACACCAAATCCATACCCCCCATGACCCATCTAGTTTTTTTTATAAAACAGGGGCTCAACTCATATTTGCCAATTTGCCATTAACATGACCTAAGAAGAGCGATTGATCCCTTGTGCCCAGGAAGTAAAAACTCATCCTTCCCTTAAATTCTTTGCTTGACGTCTTGTTTGCACAATCCATCCATGCACAAAACCTTTAGCCTTTCGAACTTTGCTCACTTTCCCTTCTCAGCCAGATCAAAAGCATCAAAATTACTTGTCATCTTCCAATCCAAAAAATTCTTCTTGTCCACATTTTCCTCTTCATCATCATCAACAGCATCATCCTCTCTTGCACCCCCAACTCATGAACAAATAACCCATCTCATTTTAGACCAAAAATCAGCACTACAAGCTCTTCAAACTTTCAAATGGGCCTCGAAGTTACCAAATTTTACACATTCTCAGTCCACATATCGAGCTTTAATCTACAAGCTCTTGACCTTTCGTCGCTTCCATACTGTTCAACAATTACTCGATGAAATGCCTAACTCAATTGGTTCACCTCCAGATGAATCAATTTTCCTCACAATCATTCGTGGGCTTGGAAGGGCTCGAATGATTCGTGATGTTATTAAAGTTCTTGACTTGGTTGCTAAGTTTGGCCACTACCCATCTTTGAAAATTTTTAATTCAATACTTGATGTTCTTGTTAAGGATGATATTGATTTAGCTAGGAAGTTTTATAGGAAAAAAATGATGGGTAGTGGTGTTCAAGGTGATGATTACACTTATGGGATTTTAATGAAAGGGCTTTGCTTGACTAATAGAATTGGTGAAGGGTTTAAGCTTTTGCAAGTTATTAAGTCAAGAGGTTTAAAGCCTAATGTTGTTGTTTATAACACTTTGCTTCATGCACTTTCTAAGAATGGGAAAGTAGGGAGGGCACGGAGCTTAATGAATGAGATGGAGGAGCCTAATGATGTGACTTTCAATGTTTTGATATGTGGGTATTGTAAAGAAGATAATTTTGTTCAAGCTCTTGTGTTGTTAGAGAAGAGTTTTGCTTTGGGGTTTGTACCAGATGTTATTACCGTGACTAAGGTGGTGGAGATTCTTTGCAATGCAGGTCGTGTGACGGAGGCTGTGGAGATATTAGAGAGAGTGGAGAGCAAGGGAGGTGTAGTTGATGTTGTAGCTCATAACACCTTGATAAGGGGGTTTTGCAAGTCAGGGAAGGTGAAAGTTGGTCGTGGTTTGTTGAAGGAAATGGAGAGAAAGGGCTGTCTTCCTAATGTAGACACCTATAATGCCTTGATCTCTGGTTTCTGTGAGTCAGGGATGTTGGAGTCAGCTCTTGATATGTTTAATGATATGAAAACAGATGGCATCAATTGGAATTTTGTTACATTTGATACGTTAATCAGAGGTTTGTTTTCAGGAGGGAGGATTGAAGATGGGTTTAAGATCTTAGAACTGATGGAGGAGACTAAAAGGGGTTCCGGGGATAGCATTAGTCCTTATAACAGTGTGTTATATGGTCTCTATGGGAAAAATATGTGGAATGACGCACTTGAGTTTCTAATGAAGATTGAAAATTTGTTTCCTAGAGCTGTTGATAGGACCTTGAGGATATTAGGATTTTGCGAGGAGAGTGCCATTCAGGATGCCAAGAGGGTTTATGATCAAATGATTAATGAAGGTGGAATTCCTAGTGCTCTTGTCTATGACTGCTTAATCCATGGATTTTGCCAAGAAGGGGGTGTCCGAGAAGCACTGGAGCTGATGAATGAGATGGTTTCCTTTGGTTATTTTCCTGTTGCATCAGCATTTAATGCTGTTATTAGTGGATTTTGCAAGCAAGGGAAAGATGGGAGTGCTTTGAAGCTACTTGAGGACATGGTTAGGAGAGGATGTGTGCCCGATACAGGAAGTTATAACCCTCTGATCGATGCTCTTTGTAGGAAGGGGAATTTTCAGAAGGCTGTGAGTCTCCTCTTACAAATGGTAGAAAATGGTAGAACTCCTGATTGTTTGATATGGAATTCTTTGTTTCATTGTCTTAGTCAACAAACCATCTGGTTAGAAAGCAAGAATATGTTCCGTGTACACAACCTAGTTGAACAAATTATGGAGATTTGAAATTTTTTTTTTTTTTGTTGCTTTTCTGATAAGCTATTGGGATTTCAATTATTGCCCAGTGGTAATTAAGACGATGAATTGCCTTCATTGAAAAAAAGGTCCTATAAAAACTATCTGCGTGTGGAAGGATTGTACGATTCCTCTGGTAGGAAACAATTCTTGCATTCTGTTTCTGATAGAAATGGAAGACTCGAGAGAAAATGTTAATCACCTTTTCATAGAAAAAATGATTTTTAGTCTTATTTTGGATTGTTGTTTGCACGTACATCTGGAATAGAGTCGTGAGGTGTACGGATAGGAAAAAATGCCCTTCCGATGGTCCCCAAACCCCAAAAGATAGGCACGATTCCCAGTTGGCCAACTTTAAGTAAAAAAGACGAAAAAAAGGAAAAGAAAAAAAAAACAAAAAGCTTCAGTCATTAATGTTGTTGATTACGCTATTAAAGTAAAGTTATGGACATAAAGACATTTTCCATGAATGCACCCTAATCTGTTTTTCCCTCCCAACCTAGTTGAACAAATTATGGAGATTTGAATATATATATATATATTTTCGTTTCTTTTCTGATAAGCTATTGGGATTTCAATCATTGCCCAGTGGTAATTAAGATGATGGTGTTGCCTTCATTGAAATGGAAGACTCTAGAGAAAATGTAAATGACCTTTTCATAAAAAAATGATTTTTAGTCTTGTTTTGGTTGTTGTTTGTACGTACATCTGGAATAGAGTCGTGAGGTGTATGGATAGAAAACAATGCCATTCCGATGGTCCCCAAACCCCAAAATATAGGTACGATTCCCAGTTGGCCAACTTCAAGGAAAAAAGACAAAAAAATAAAAAAATAAAAAAATCTTCAGTCATTAACGTTGTTGATTACGCTATTAAGTAAAGTTATGGACACAAAGACATTACCGAGATAGATGGCTAAGCTTGATAGTAATTAGTGAATCGAAGATGTTGACATGAATGCTCCTTTTGGTCATGTGTTTCGAGTTGCCCGCTTACTAAGGCTGTGTTGAGTTTCTCATGGAAACCGTGTTACTTTTGAAAACAGAAAAAATCTCTTTTTCCACCAAAAAAAAAAAATCTAATCCTTCATGTCGTTTCTACATCATTTTTTTTTGGACAAAAAGTGCTGTCAACGTGCAAATAATATATTCTAAAATGAAAAATATTAGTTTAATTTAAAAAAATCTCAAATTTGAAAAGAAGCGATCTTAAAAGGATACATGTGGGGTGGTGGGGTTAGCCATCATATTCAACTAGTGTTCATTTTTAATACGGTTCTTTTGGATCTCTATGGCCAAGCATGTGTTTTCAAATTGCAAATAGAGATAACCAAAGTTGATGACTTAAATTTGCTCTTTGCCTGCTGGCACTTTCTGTGAACTTCTTCTCTTCCATCATCGAGAACCCTAGCAACCACATCAAATAAAACTTGAAGTGACAAAAACCCAAGGTACCTCTTCCTTTCAAATCCTATATCTTGGTATTGTCCTCTCTGTTAAAATCTCTCTTAGAAACCTAATCGAAAACCAAATTTGATCGTATCCAAAAATCAAGCCAAACCCTTTAAATATCTCCCTCCAATCTATTTTTTGAAAGAATAGATCAGATTTTCAATCATGGGACTTGATAAAGAAGCAAGTTCATCTTCACACGTGTTGAATGTTCCTCAGTTTCCCAGAGAAGACACTCCTTTATTAGGCAAGAGACCTCCAGTTTCTTCCCGAGGCAAGACCTTTGCAAATGTTTTCATAGCTATAGTTGGTGCAGGAGTTCTTGGCTTACCTTACACTTTCAAGAAAACAGGATGGGTTATGGGCTCTCTTATGGTTCTCTCTGTTGCTTTCCTGACTTACTATTGCATGATGTTGTTAGTCTATACTCGTAGAAAGCTTGAATCTTTAGAAGAATTCACCAAGATTGCCTCTTTTGGTGATCTGGGTTTCACTGTGTGTGGTCCTGTAGGTCGTGTTGCTGTTGATGTTATGATTGTTCTTGCACAAGCAGGGTTTTGTGTCAGCTATCTTATTTTTATCGCCAACACTTTAGCTTATATTATAAATCATCAATCAAGTGATAAAATTTTGGGCTTTTTGAGTCCCAAGGCTTTGTATATATGGGTTTGTTTTCCTTTTCAGTTGGGGTTGAATTCAATTCCAACATTGACTCATTTGGCTCCGTTGAGCATTTTTGCTGATGTTGTTGATCTTGGAGCTATGGGAGTGGTTATGGTGGAGGATGTGATGGTCTTTTTGGAAAATAGGCCTGTTTTACAAGCTTTTGGTGGGTTCTCTGTTTTCTTCTATGGTTTAGGTGTGTCTGTTTATGCTTTTGAAGGGATTGGTATGGTGTTGCCATTGGAGTCTGAAGCTAAAGACAAGGACAAGTTTGGTAGAGTGTTGGGGTTGTGTATGGCTCTAATTTCTTTGATGTATGTAGGTTTTGGGGTATTGGGTTACTTTGCTTTTGGTGAAGATACCAAGGATATAATCACTACCAATTTGGGACCTGGACTAGTGAGCATTCTTGTGCAGATTGGTTTGTGCATAAACCTGTTCTTTACATTCCCATTGATGATGAATCCAGTTTATGAAGTGGTGGAGAGAAGGTTTTGTGATTCTAGGTACACTATATTGTTGAGATGGGTGGTTGTTTTGGGAGTGAGTTTGGTGGCTTTGTTGGTGCCTAATTTTGCAGATTTCTTGTCTCTAGTAGGGAGCAGTGTGTGTTGTATGCTGGGGTTTGTGTTGCCTGCTTTGTTTCATCTCATGGTGTTTAAGGAAGAGCTGGGTTGGAATTGGTTGCTTTTGGACGGGGCATTTGTGTTCTTTGGTGCCATTGTTGCAGTTAGTGGTACCTGGACTTCCTTGATGGAGATATTTGCATCGAAGTCATCTTGAGTGACATTATTTTGCTCTCTGTTTTCGGGCAGTTGTCAAGTAGATTTATGTAATCGTCTATTGAGATTTGAGAACATTAGAAATTGTAATAAAATAAACTGGTATGTTATGATTTACGAGCTAATGCAAAAATATTTGTTTCCATGTTTTGAGGTTGCGGAAGGCAATTGTGCATCGAATCTTTTTTAGCTTATTGATTGCTTCTGATACATTCAAGCAGCTGCAGACATTTGCTATGATGGACCCTCTGCTTTTCATCTATGCCCTTCACCCTTACTGCCTTCTTATCAGTGTAAGAAAGCCCCATCTTGAACATGATTAATTAAGTTTCAAACACTTTGGAGTCTATATGTATCTTTGCTGCATTTATTCATGTGTATTGGTGCCTAATTGAAAGTATCCTTTCTGTGTCCCAAATTGCTCTTTCCTTTTTCAGCCAATCAGTTAATTCTGCAGTGCCCTCAGCCAGGTTTCCAGAAATTCGATTTCCGCCCGCAAATTTGAGTTCAATGAATCCACGAGATTAGTAGGTTTTTTTTCTGGTCCAAATGTGCAATTCTTCGGCCAATAACAAATGTCAGCTGAGCCCCAAAAAATGATCTTTTTTTCCTTCTAAAAATCAGATGGGTCTTCTTCTTTTGAAGATGGGTACCAAATTATTTGTGCCAGCAAGAGTAGGTAGCAATGATATCAAATAAACAGCTACTCTCCACACCACCATCAAACTCTTGGGCCAAGAAGGGAAGAAAAAATTCCAATACAAGGCCGAATGCCAAACGATAAACACCCAAAAGAAAGGTTTTTCCAGCAACAAAGATGTTTATAATGATGCAGTTCAACTGGTTAAAGCCTTCAATGGTCATAATTTGAAAGTTGAAACACGTTAGTTGTGTCTTTTTCTAGCTTTGGGCTAACCCCTGGGATAGCTTCCTTATCAGTTTACAAGGAGCATATTATTACTATTATTATTAATTCTTTTTTCTAATATAAAAACTATATATATTTGAGGAAAAAAGTTAAGAAGGATACTAAGCAGAAAATTCTCAAATAAGTTATCAAACAATTTTTTACTTCAATTGGATCTACAATTGTTAACTTATCCATTTTGTTTTCTCTCTGTATCTGGGTTCGCTCCAAATTTATGCTTATGCATAAAAAAAAAACAACAATTTTGTTTACATCTTAAGAATTTTTATTCAAAATGAACGAAGAGTTAGATAGAAATATGGACAGCAATGGATATTCATGGATCGGAATTTCGTACATCTATATACTATATATTATTCATTGGATAAATTTGATGTTTTTTCCTCTAAAATGAGTTTGAGATCTGTTTTGACATTTAAACTGAAGAATAATAAATGTTTTATTTCTAATATTTATCAGAATATATAATAACAAACGTATTAAGAATAGCATTTAGTCTATCAAGTACTTATGCCTAACATATCTCATTCTAAGTTACAACGGAAAAATATGTGACAAACAAAAGAACAATATCCGCTTTATCAGAGAAATAATTGTCTTAAAGTAGTAGATCAGTTTCTATTATTCTCCAATAGCCCCCTCAAGCTGAGCATTCTTTACTTAGAATTCGAAACTTGTCACGAAGAAATTTGAATCGAGCACGAGATAAAGACTTTGTTAATGCATCAGCAAGAAACTTAACCTGCAGAAGTTTCTTTGCCACTAAATCACGAACAAAGTGAAAGACGATCTTCATATGGTTTGTCCTTGCATAAAAAATGAGATTTGCTTAAAGATATTTGACACCAATTTTATCACACCACAATACTAGAGAAGTAGACGATTGGACACTTAATTCTTTAAGCAAGGATTGCTACCAAAGAATTTCAGCAGTTGTATTGGCCAAAGCACCACGATATATATTCTGATTGGTTGGAGCAAGAAATTTAGTGTTATTTTCTTTTTGACCATGAGATCAGATTGGTTCCAAGATAGATCAAATGCCCACTAGTTGACTTTCTGTCATCAAGATCAGCATCCGAAAAAGCTGGTAGAACATTAGATGTTAATTTTGCAATTTGTAGATCATAAGAAAGAGTATATTTAATGTAGCGTAGCAACCTCTTCACCATATATTTTCTAGTGCACATCTGTTGGAGCATTAAGAAAACGATACAATTTATTCACGGGAAATACCATGCTTGGTCTAGTTAACGTAGCATACTGTAATGCTTCCACAACATTTCTACACCCAGTTGCATCTGTCAATAAAGTTCCATGGTCTTTGGATAATGTAGGATAAGTAAGCGTTGGCGTTGGCATTGGCATTGGATTTCAATCTGACATCTTAATTAGTTCTTTTCAAAACATCTTCCAAATAAAGTTATTAAGATAGTAGAATATCAAATTTAGTAGTGCAAACGTCAATGCCCAAGAAGTATGACAAAGGATCCATATCTCGAATTGCAAACTCACTACTAATAGCACGAACAAATTGATTAATAATTGAACCATGAGTCCCTGTGATGGTTATATCATCATCTACATAGATTAACATATAGATATGTACAGTCTGCTTTATGTATATAAACAAGAAAGTATCGGCATTTGAGTCAATAAAACTGCTTCACGTATAAAAACAAGAAAGTATAGGTCTTTGAGTCAATAAAACTAAAGCGAGTTAAAGCAGAAGTTAACTTGTAAAACCATGCTCGAGGAGCTTGTTTAAGTCTACAAAGCGATTTGTGTAACTTACAAACATAATCCGAAGTTGCAGGACCTTCAAAGCCCTTTGGTTGACTCATTAATACTTCTTCCTGCAAGATTCTATTTAGAAAAGAATTAGAGACATCTAACTACGTACCTCAATTCCCATCTAGAGTTGACTATCAATGCCAAAATAATATGAATAATAGTGGGTTTTGATCACAGGACTAAATGCCTTCACGTAATCAATCCCTTACTATTGAGTGAAGCCTCTTGCCACAAGTTTAGCCTTCAATCTTTCTACACTACCATCAGATTTCTGTTTAAGTTTATACACCCATTTATTGCCCATAATGTTTGCTTGTTTTGATTTTGGAACCAAAGACCAAGTTTGGTTAGCAAGCAGTGCTTTATACTCGTCATTCATGGCTATTCTCCATCTTGAATGCTTGTGACATTGAAAGAAAGTGAGTGGTACCAAAAGAGAATCAAAGGAAGTCTCTTTTGTAACAAAAATCGTCAATTTCTCTCTCCTTTTTTTCTTTTTTCTGAAGTAAAAGCTTTGAGTTTTACTAGATGATGCTATTGAGCAAAGAAACACAAATAATACAGCAGAACCCCTTTGTTATTGCATGAACAATCAATCACAGGCTACAACCAAATACCCAAGCCAAACAAGTAATTAATAATCTGAAAAATAAGCAACCAATCACAATCATACAAAGCATACAAAAATTTTTACGTGGAAAACCTTCTCAATTTGAGAAGGGAAAAACCATGGGATCGGAGTCCACTATAACTTCCACTATTAGCAATAATGGGTACAAGGAGTCCTCTCTAGATTAAACTAGATGAATAATCAGTCAAAAAAATCAAAGGTTACACACCCTTGGCAAACCACATCAAAAGATGATACACAAAGAAAGTAGAAGAAATGAAGTTCAGATTTCACCAGAAAATAGCACTGTTATGACACAATATCTCTCTCTCCAGGACGTAAAACCAGATCTCCACCGTCCAGAATGTGTACCTGCCTCTCTTGAACGTGCCCACCAAATTTGAGCTCGATCCAATGGTTAACGAACCCATAAACTCAATTTTAGCATGATTGATTTATGCTGAAACTTTTTTCCTCTTTCTCTCAAAAGTTGCGGCTCTCACTCCTTTTCTCTTCTTTTTCTCTCTTTTTCTTTCCTAATCTGATTTCAGAATAAAAGAGAAGATATAGTTTATTTAAAATACCAAAGTTATCATTTAAGTGATTAAAAAATCCTCCTCTACATGGGCTCCAAAACTAGACTCATGTAGGCAAACCTTTGGGCCATCCTCCAGCTAGGAGGGAAACCCAACGAGATGTTTTTCATTTCCTGTTTGATTTGATGTTGTATAAACTTTTAATAAAACTTGTGGCAGAAAATTAATATATTGATTTACACTATTTGTATTGGTCGTTGATCGGATATTCCGCATATTTGAAAGGCATTGCACTAATAATATCCGTTGATTGTCTTTGCATGTGATAAGGAATGTCCTTATCACATGCAAATTAGTTTGTAAATTATTAGTTTATAATTAAATTATTAAATTTTTCTTTAAAATATAAAATTATGTGTTAGTTTAATTAATTTAATTTTTAATTTAGTTGTTAAATTTTTAAATTAAATCAATTAGTTTGTAATTAAATTATTTTTTAAAAGATTTAATTAGGTAGTTAATTAAAATATTAATTAAGTTGCTAAATGAGTTTTAAATTTTTTAATTGAAGTAAAGTAGTTGTTTATTAAATTAATTATATTTAGTTTAAGATGAATTTGGATCGTTCGTTGATTGACTATAGACTAGTTGATGGTATTTTAAATTAACGTTTCGTTGATGGGATTAATGAATTTATTAATTTTGTCGTTGGTCATCCGGAGTGTATGGACGAAAATAAGATGAGATGTCCTTGCAAACTTAAAAATGTTAGAATCGTAGTTATGAAAATCTTGATACAATTAAGTATCATTTGATGAGATATGGCTTGTATCTAGGTATTATATGTGGAGACATCATGGAGAAAATGAGTTAGTCAATTATAGTGACAATTTGATAAATTTTGTTCAATCTAAAAAAATATTTAATGAACCTCCATTCAATCTATATCACACAATGGTGATGGATGCAATCGGTCCATCATTTAATCCGTTTAATACACACGAAGTTCCAAACCACGATGCCTCATCATTTTATGATTTGTTAAATGCATCCAATAGAGGGATATGACCTAGTTTAGAAAATTACTCACGAGTTATTCGTAATGGCCCGTATGTTACACCTTAAGTCCGAACATCATTTTTCGAAGAGGTGTTATGACGACTTATGTCAACTTATGAAAACGTTGGTGCATGTCGATAATTGCATGCTAAAAGATTTTTACGGTACGAAAAAATTGATGGAATTGATGTTTAACGAGTTCAATGGATCCACAAATGTATAAATGGTAGCATGATTTATTGGGTTGAAGATAGTAAGAGAATTAGTTGTAAAATCCGTGACCATCCTCGATATCGAATTCCAAGACGGGGATTAGTTAGAGAAATATTTGTCCTGGATAAAAAAATGTATTATTTTTCTCTAACCTCGCGATTATAGAGGATGTATGCTTTAACTACCGTAGTTGGTGACATGGTGTGGCATGCCGAATATGAATTTGAGGCTAATGTCATGCATCATTGTTTTATGGCCTTTGCATGGTGGCATTTCAATCAAACAAATACTTCTTTTGTATCAAAAATTAAGAATATCGGTTTGGTAGTTTACACTTATGGGCTTCGACCTTGGTCAATTTGGACAACAATATTCTTCGTGACTTGTAATTGTAATGCCTTATAATAATTTTCCACCATAAAAGTATATGAAGGAAAAATATATGTTCTTAATCGTAATTATCTCGGGACCTAAAAACCCAAAGATCAACCTAGATGTATACTTACAACCCTTAATTAAAGAGTTGGTTGAATTATGGAAAGTTGGTGTGCTTACTTATGATGTGTCTCGAAAATATAATTTCCGGATGCAAGCTATAGTCATATGGATAGTCAATGATTTTCCTGCATATTCAATGTTGTCGAGTTGGAGTATTGTGAATAAAATAACATGCTCGTATTACATGAAAAAATTTAATACTTTCGGTCTCCATAATTGTAGAAAGACTTCTTAGTTTAACTCTCACCATAAGTTTTAACTACAAAGTCATCCTTTTACGAGGAATGGGAGTGTGTTCAAGCGAATTTCAATTGTCATAGACATTGCTCCCCCGATTATGTATGGAGTAGAAACTTTACATGAAATACAAAATTGAGGGTTGTTGAAAGTCATAAAAGAGCGCTCCAAAGAGTGTAACAACGGTATAGCTAGAGCTTATGGTTGGAAGAAACATAGTATATTTTGGGATCTTCCTTATTGGAATTCCAATTTAATTCGACACAATTTGGATATGATGTACATTGAAAAAAATGTCTTTGGTAATGTGTTTAATAGAATTACGAGAGTACTAGGAGAAATAAAAGATAATGCAAACTCTAGAGAAGACTTGAAACTTTATTATCGGTGGCTAAAATTAGAAATAGATAAAAATTCTAGAAAATACCCTAAAGCATGTTACACTTTAGACAAGCAACGAAAAATACAATTGCTTAAATGGATTAAACAACTTAGGTTTCTTGGTGGATATGTATCAAACTTGGATAGGTGTGTCGATATGAACAACCTCGGATTATATGACATGAAAAGTCATAACGGTCATGTATTTATGCGAGAGGTTAACACCTATCACACTTCATGACCTATTACCGAAAAATATTTGGCAAGCACTAGCGAAGTTGAGCTTATTCTTTAAGAAATTGAAATCTATTGTCATTAAGGTAGAAGATATGAGCCATCTTAAAACAAAGATACCTTTAATTTTATGCAAACTTCAGCATATATTTCCATCTAGTTTTTTTTACTCAATGGAACATTTTTCAATCCACTTGGCATATAAAGCAAAAATAGCGGGACCATTATAATATCGATGGATGCATCAATTTGAAAGGTAAATATATTGATTGTGAACCTTTTATTAATTTTGTTTTTAAAAATATTTGTTAACTAACATACATATATAATATAGGTATCTTCAAAAATTAAAAAACAATGTAAAAAACAAAGTAAGATTCGAAGGGTCAATATGCAATACATATTTAGTTGAAGAAGTGTCAATGTTTTATTCATATTACTTCAAGCCTCATGTCCATACTAGACATTAAAAAGTACAACAAAAATTTGATTGTCCTCGAGAACCAAGTGACGACATTGAAGGAATACTTGCTATATTCAAATCAAAAAGTCAATCTCTTGATCGAGTAAAATCACATGTGCTAACAAATGATGAAAAGCTTGCATCTCATACCTTTATTTTGTTGAAATGTAATAAGGTGACACCTTACACTAAGTAAGTGCTATAATTAGCAAAACTTTCAATACTGAACTTCATTAATCATCAATTATTTTTATTAAAGATAGTAAAAATCTTATAATAGTTTTTCTTCCATAGATATTTCATGAGCTAACTTTATTAAAGCAATCCCAACATATGAAAAAAT